ATGTCAGGTACTCCTCATAGAGTTGCCCCATCATTGCCCGGTCTTAGGAGGATGGCCGGCATAGAGATCGGTTAATTTAGGAGGATCAACGATATGAGCTTCATATGTTCTCTAGCAGGGTATACTGCATGCATGTTATAGCTGAGCAACTGTGCTTCTTCCCTGCAGCTGCATCTAGAACCGGCTTTGGGCAATCAGCTCCTGAGCACAACCAATTATATGGCCAAAGGTCTCATTGAAATAAGTTTTAGTGACCTGATAATATTTTTTATTGCAAACAAAGTTCTCTTCAAACTCCGGCTGAACCGCATGTAGGTGTTATGAGCCATTCTAGCTTGGTACTCATCTTCGGTCTCAATGCGCCCGCCCGGGCCAATACGGATTGGTGGACTCGCATCCACAGCATCAGGAATAGCACCACTCTTCGGGGAACTCTCTACAGCCTGATGCTTGTTCATGAACAAACAGGGTACAACCTACTTGAACAGCTGAGTGCTCCAAATGATCAACAAATACCAACAGGTCCCAAGATATATATAATATAGATCGATACGCACCCCTAAGCTAGAATAGATTGGAACTGTTGGTATTTCGGACGTGATCATTATTCACCACACGTGTCAAGGGGAAATGGCCTCGAGCTGGGTGGTGTCCAATCGACGCATGAGATCCATCTGCGCACGGAGGTGCGGAGTTGGTGGCTCTGATGCATCCTGCGCAATCTCCTGGAAGGACACGTGGGGCTTGCGCAAGATCGTTGTGGGTGTGATGTATACATTGGTCGACCAAAGTTCGATAGACATGTGCACAAATGTCAAAGTCACCTGCACCCCTGGAAAAGTTGCCACTTCCAAGTGATCTTTCAGGAGATCGTGGTGATCAGCTTCCGATCGAGAGGACCCAACCTGCGGGACCTGACGCATAGGTGGGCTTTGGGATATGTGAAAGAATGGCTTGACCCAGAGTCTTTTAAAGCGACAAAACAAATTCATTTATTGGCCACATATGGTTGGATATCGTTTGTAGGCCTTGGTGTCATGGTGTTTCTGAACAAATGTTAAACTGCATATGGTTGGATATCGTTTATAGGCCTTGGTGTCATGGTGTTTCTGGACAAAGGCATCCAGATCTTCAATGAGGCCCTTCTCCACAACAGCATTGCCATCTCTAATTCTGGCATGGTCCACCATAAAGTCAAGCATCCGACCCAATTGTTCTTCGATGTCAGCCGTGCATCGATCAAAAACCTGTTGCGCATCAAGCGTGGGTTTCAATTTATCATGTTTCCATCGGGCCACGGCATCAACATGAGCCATATAGATGTCAGTATCCTTTGGGTCCAGGTCAGGGAACATCTCCTTGGTACGAGCATACTGCTTGGCCAGAAGATCCCTGCCAGCCAGGTCAAGGTTCTGTTCCAAAAGGTGATGTTCCACCTTCATGCTAGCTGCAGTCTTGGTTCTGTCTGCAATCTGCTTGTTAATTGTTGCAATTTCCTTCACTGAAAGCGTAAGGTGTGGGTCCATCTTGCTGATGTCTCCCAAGTCAGTGCGACGTTTGACCCAAGTGTTGACATCAACTCGCATGTCGTTCAGAGACATGTCACTGTGCCATTTGTTCATGTACATGATCAGTGGCTGGTCCACTGCAAGCACGTCCAAGTCAAGCCTTCCCAAGTCCTCCATGCTATCACCCATTGGCAACGTTGATATGGTAGCGATGTCACGCCCAATCCCACCACATTCCGAGCCTTTGCTAGCTAACAGGGATGAAAACACAAAGTGGGTGGTGACATGTATTTATCGATATATATTTTTCTCACAATGCATTCGAAACACCGATCACCGAATCGTGTGCAGGAGTTCCAGCTAGATCACCCTCAACCTCAAAGCCGCAAAGGACAATGGTGCTGGACAACACCTCCCGGTGGGTGGAACATGAGGGACGTCGATCGAGGGAATCCGTCGTCGATTGGTTGGATTGGGCCAAGGGACTGGTTGGGAATCAGCGCTCACTGTCGTAGCCACACTGTCGAAGTCATGCGCCAAATTTTTGGCACTAGAGTTCACAACCTCCATTTTGCTTTTCTTGAGCTCAGGGCTTTTGATCGGAGTGGATTTCGCACTCGAACCACAACTTTTGGGTACAGGCACCGGAACACTCACCTTTGGAGGGGCGCCAGATGGCACCTGAGCTCGAGCATTCACCTGTGGTGGAGGGGCACCAGATGGCACCCGAGCATTCACCTGCGTTGGTGGAGGGGTACGAGATGGCACCATAGCACTCACCTTTGGTGGAGGGGCCATCACCGGCTGGTTTGGTGGAGGGGTACCAGACGGCACCAGAGCACTCACCTTTGGTGGAGGGAGACCAGGTGGCACAGGCTGAACCGTAGTCAAGACCTTTGGAGCAGCCGCTGTTCTGGCAGGTGTAGCTATCGGCTTGGATGTAGGACCCACACCTTAAGAACTGCAGATCAGCATTATTAGGTTGTGATGGGACATGTGCACACTCCCATACCACCAGGGCACGGAGTTTTTCCCCCAACCGATGTTCAAGCTTCTTCAGCTCATCCTCAACCTGGAAGGAGTCAACCGAAGAAGATGATCGTGCCTGGGATGGTTGGTGTTTTGGGATGGTCGTGTTTGGGATGGCAGGTGTTTTGGAACCTAACTGAGTTCATTTTCTCCAAACCCACTCGCAAAATCACCAAATCACAGGACATTGAGTGTTTTGGTATGGCTGTGTTTGGGGTTGCAGGCTTTTGGAAGCATGTTGAGAGCAAATGTGGCATGTTGGAGGCCACAAACTCATTAATTGAACAGGTTTAGACAAGGAACATAGGGGGTCGAGCGTGTTTTGGCAGCAGTCGGTGGTTGTACCACCATGACCTGACGAGACAAGTGTGGCATCAAGTGAGTTCAAACCTTATAAATTAGTGCACGTAAATTTAACGCAATTTAACGCCGCGTTTTGTCTGAGCACGCGATTTAACGCAATTTAACGCAATTTAACGCGGACTCTGGGTTTGGTCCCCGGTTGTCTCCGGTAGGTTCACTGGGCATCCCACCTTCACCCGAGAGGCTAACTGACGATTTGAGCTCAACAAAATGCAACAGCTGCACAACAAACGCTTGCTGGATGTCATATCTAGCCATATCTAGCCACAAAACTCGGAAAACATGCAGACCACACTGACATTGCAAACCTCACTTTGTTCTACAGGCCACAACGTTTGAGCATCCAAAGCTTTCAAAAGCTTTTAGTCGAATTTCACAGCGCTTGAATTGGTTCCTGCCATATGGTATGCAGGAACGTTGACCAAAATGCAACAACTTAGTGATCACTTGATGGGTAGGAGGCATTCATGAGCCAACGCACAAGTCGATATTATAGCGATGTAACGATATATTCTAGTGTTTATGCCACTCACCCCTCCATCTTGCCCGGACCCTTTCAAAAACTTCCCTGCTTGGTGCAATTTGCACCGGCACCAAAGGATCACGCCGGAGCTTGCCCTGACTGATCACATGCTCTAGGAAAGCAACTACAGGTCGAAGGTCAGCACGGTCCCACAGGCCCAGAGGCGGCTCCTTAAGTACTAGATTTTGCTTCACAAAGGCTGAAAACAAAAGAATACAGTTAACAGATCATCCACAAATGTCAAATCATGTCGAAATGAAGTAACTCCAACGAACCGGGGACCAAACACAGAGCTTCAAAATGTGCGTGCGTGCGCATGTATGTAATTCCTTGTTGTGTTGTTTGCGCTTGGTTGATTGGTTGTTACTCGCATTTGCTTCATTTGGATCACTCAGCTGTTTTTGGTTTTAAATTTATAAGCATATTGCATTCACGTGCTTTGTTTTTGTGGTTGTTTTTGTTTATTTTTGATTAACGTTGTGTTTTGATGTCATTGTTTTTAGTGTTTTTTTGGTGTTCATTTGCTATCTGCTGCTGTTGTTTGTTTTTTTGTATGTTCGCTTTATGCACATTGTATGGCATTCGCCCCACAAAAGCTCAACGCGACACATGAAAAGAGGACTCCCGAGCTTGGCGCCATAGTCTATCCCTGTTCTCCACCCAGGGTGATGGCCAGAGCCAGCCCCGGGTGGTCCCCGAGTCGGCAATTCCAATCCCCAACCAAATCCGCCCATGCTACGCGTTAGGGGGGGTCCTGACGGATCAGCCGGGTTATTGAAAAATCTCTGACTCAAAGGCCAGGCAAGGGCTATGACTACTCAAGAACCCTCGTGTCGGTGCCGGAGGGCATTGGCGCCATCAGTGTTCCAGCATGATTTTA